CTCAAGGTAATGTGTCCTCCCTGCTGAGGTTTTGCTGCCGTAGGCAATGGATTCCACTGCTAAATAAGTTTCAGAAAGAAGCCCTCTTCCTTCTGAAAGGGATCGCCAGGTCATGGTAGAGAAGAATGAATTATATTTCGTTTTTAACTTGTCGTGATTATTTAGACTCACTTGAGAAATCATGTACTCTTATAATAGCTTGGCTGCTAGGAGAAACTGTGCCTGAGTGTCTGACTTTACTAGCACTTCTGAATGTTCATAGAGAAGCTAAGGCTGACCTTCTGTACTAACCATTTGTCAATGAATTTCCAGCCTTTGCCAGCAACAGAGCAGTACTTGGCCTCTCTTTCCTTCTTGCTTGCCATCTAGAAGCTCTGCTGCAGGGAACTCATGCCACTCCTTTTTTTGTGTTCTACATTCAACTGAAATTCATGTTCACTGCAGTGAAAGTAAATGCTCAAGTAAAATACAAGAATATAAAATTTAGCAATGCTAGATTTGTTTGGATGCAAGTTTAATCTGAAGTGATGGCTTAACAAGAAACGCATTAAGTACTATGCCATCACTAGACTACAAGGAGGTGAATTTTCCTTGTGTTCACTGTTTCTGCTCTGAAGCATGCATGGCAAGATCTGTACAAGACCAGGTTATTATTCCTTTAGTTTCAGAGTAGTCAGGAGATAAAGGATACCTTTTCCGTATCTGCCTTCCTGTCCATTCAAATTGCTTTTTCACATCCCATTCCCATTGTTTGAAAACAATGTTCATATTGTAATCATTTAGTTGCATGTGTAAGAAACTGGTCATACATTTTGTCTTCCTAACTCCTGTGCGTTTTAACAAACTTGAGGTCATTTCTTAGTGTCTGTTTGGAGTCTTTTTGCACAAAGCTCACCTTCTAGATAATGACAGAATAGTAAGACTTGGAATAGTTAGCGCTGCGCTCACAATTTAAATAGAAGGCTAACTAACTATAGAAGGCTAACTAGGTACCTTTCTTCCCTATTCTAACTCTGTTACTACAAAAATTGCTGTGTTTTTCCTGGATTAGAAGCTCCATTCTTCTGTCAACGGGCTTTAGGATACCAGAAGGATATTTTGATAAAATATCAAAAAGGAAGCAATAAAAACGGTCATGTTTTCCATGTGGCTACATGACAGATAGGAGAACAGAGGCTATTTTTATCTACCCAATTTCTTTATATTAATATTTTCTCTATTTTATTTTCCATCTCCTTTTTTCAACATTATAGGCTGAGATGAAGAAAAGTGTTCACACACTTGTGTGAGTGTAACCTCATGGGTAACCCTGGAAATGTGTTCCCTCCAAGCAGATGGCTTAGGAAGGGGCTTGAGAACCAGTATTTCTCCCAAGCTTCTTCCCCCACTGTGCACAGCTACTCATCTGTGACTGCTATGCATTGCTACATCCCAGCAGTCTCTCTACTGATCAGGTCACTGGCCAACTGTCACACATCCCCACTGCTGCCCTGCTGCTCTCCAGAACAGGATGTGCATTCCCAAGGAAGATTTGTTGCCCTGCAAGATCTCCCAGTGAGAGAAAATGAAGGCACTTGATGATCTTTTGTACCCTGCACTGATGTAGAGAGTTGCATTTAATATTGCTCATCGTGTGCGTCTCTTCTCGAGCTTCTAACAGAGCTTCAGAATTAGTCTCTTTCTGTTTTGCTGGAAAACATATATATGTTATATATATATATATATGTATATATATAAACATATAAACATATAATTTATAATATATATTATAAATTATATTATATATAAATTTATATTTTATATATATAAACATATAAACATATATATATAACATATATACATACACACACACATATATATATGTATATATATAAAACACATATATATGCACACACACACATATATATATATGTATATATATTTAGAAATTGCTCCTAAATCTTATCATCCCCACAATGATATAGGCTCATTTAGACTTGCAGAGGGAATCTCATGATCTCCCACTCCAGTGAACAGCAACTATGAAGTGCCAAGACAGTCATTTAAATTCATGATGCTCACTTTGCCATCTTCCTGCAAGCCTTGCCTTTGTTTGTGACCTGATTCTTATGACCTTTCCTCTTAAAAATGTTCCTTTTCAGCAGACCTCAGTCCTATTCTTTCCTGAAATGATCACAAACGGTCAATTCCTTCCAGTTTAGTTCTTAATGGTTACTCTGTCTTTTGATGATCCCTGCACTAGAATCCTTCCTCATCTTTGAACAGCTGATGATCACCGTGAGGACCCTGGTCACTGCATTCCTTCTTCCAGTCAAGCTAGCACAGAGGATTCTCTGGCCCCCCTTTTCTGTTCACAGATCCTGGGAGGAGGTTGGGGTGGTGTTTTCTGCAATCTTCTTTTCCACATCTCCTTACATGTAGGCAGTGGAACCTTTCAAATATGTGTGTGCATAGCTGCGAGCTATTGTAGTGCCACATCAACATAGAAACTCGATTAAAAATCTGTTGGGCTGCCTCATTCCAGGATCAAATATAGAATTATTCATGACAGTATATTTTTATTTTTAGTTTTTGCAATGAATTAGTCTGGCTATGGTCTATTCAAAGCTTCCTGTCATTCTGCTTCCACTATGCTTGATCTCTAATTCTCCTGAAAATAGATCCCATGGTAAGGAAATGTCTTCTGCTATTTGGTTTCATGCTTTATTTTAGTTATTTTGATCCCTGCTTATCTGTACTCCCCATAACTCACTGATGCAGTTCCTCCCCGTGTTTTGCAGCACCCTTCGAATACTTGAATGAAAGATACTTCATATCTTTGGGAGAGAGAGATCAAATTTTTTCCCCATTATTGTCCAGCCAAGTGCACAACTCTGTTCTTTAATGATATCCCTCCCTCAGATCCTCTAATCTTTTAAAGTATTCCACTTCAAACTGTGTCCAGTAGTGCACCTTCTGTGAGATCTCTGATCTCCCAGGCAATCTCTGGAAAGCTGGTGTTGTCATATCCTTTTAGAAAAGGTCACTTCTGTCTGAGTAACTCAATAAAAGCTGCTCATGTACTGTGCAGGATCTCACTGGCTGCTCTGAGAGCCACACTGCTTTGTAAACAGCTGCTAGGTCTAATTCGTGAGCCACTGAAAATGCAATATTATTGGCATTTAAGAGCTGTGTTTTGGAAGATTTTGCATGATGGATATTCTGGTGATGCTAAAAAGGACAACTTAAACAAAATAGTTTTTAGTCTTGAGAGCTGACAGTTCTCATTACTCATCACTGTGGGAGATGCATACGCAGTAAACTTACTCAACAGAAATGCTGCATTCCTCCACTTAACCTAAAAATAGACCAAACAATCTCAATATACTGACTCACAAACAAGGGATTTGCTTTATCATAGCTCTCACTCTGTTTTAAATGCCCAGACAGTTAACTCCACAGCCTTCAAATCCATTTCAGATTTGCTACAAATCTGTTTTTCTAGTGGTTTTTACCCTCCAAATTCTGGACATTACATTAAGGAACCATATGCATCTGGCAGGAAGACTTCACCCTCAGATTTTCCTTTCTATGCTTTGATGTTCCTCTGGCTCAAGTTAAGTTTTGTATTGAGGAAGAGTGGGGTTGAGGCTCAATGGAAATTATGTTTATATGTTTTGAGAATATATATAGAAGGTACTGGAAGTGTTATAGGGTTTAATTTAGACTTTCTCTTAGCTATGAAGCTGCACTGCACAAGCATGGCTTGCCCTTAACTCCTGGCCCTTAGCCAGGTACCCCCAAATCCACCAGTTACAAATGGACAAGCTGTGAATGCACGGAGGGAGGCTGTAGGTGAAAGTACAGTGTGAACTGGCTGGTGAGGAGAGAATGGAGGCTTCTCATCATCCCAAAGCATTGGGCAATGTCTCTCAGCAGCTCCTTCATGAAATACAGCCACACACTGTTCCTAATGATGATGAAGAAACATTCTGTGGGAATGTCACAGCATACACTTTTGACAAGATATATTCCTTAAAAGCTGTTGTTTTCTAGAGATGTCTTTGCTTGAGAGTTTTGGAAAAATGTATGAAATTCATCCATTTTCTGTTGATTCTGGGTGTTTCTTGAGAGCAGGACCAGACTGTGAAACAGGAAGGCATGGAGTTTATTTCAATGCTCCATACCTCTTTTCTGTACAACTCCTGTCATCAGCGAACTTTCATTTACAGAATGGAGACTTTATTTACATTCTGGAAGATGCTGAAAGGAGACTTTATCAGTCCCTACAACATCCTGAAAGGTGGTTGTAGTGAGGTAGTGGTCAGCATCCTATCCCAAGGAATAAGCGATAGGATGAGAGGTAAAGGCCTCAAGTTGCACTGGGGAAGATTTGGGTTGGATCTTAGGAAATGTTTTTCCTCAGAAAGTGTGGTGAGGGAGTGGAACGGGCTGCCCAGAGAGGTGGTGGAGTCACCATCTATGGAGGTGTTCAGGAAACATATAGATGTGGCCCCGATGGATGTGGTTGGTGGCCCATTAGTGGGGATGGGTTGATGATTGGACTCGGTGATCTTACTGCTCTCTTCTGACCGTGTTAATGATTCTGTGACTGTTCTGTGAGTTTTATTTTACAATTGGATGAAGCTCTGGCATGGATGAGGTTAATTTACAAGACACTTTTCTTTGCATTTCTTTGTTTCCTTCTGATAGTGAGCAGATAGTGTCAAGGTGATTCCAGAAAGTGGTGCGGGGACTCCTAGTTTTGCTTCACATCGAGTTATTAACTTGTTCCGCTTCAGTATGTCAGCTATTCCAAAGCAACCCCACCAGCGAGGGGACGGGGTCGAAGCGCTGGAACTTCATCAGACCGCCGCAGCACTCACCGACCTCCTTAGACCCTGCCCCTCTGGGCCTCGTGGGGTCCCGGGGCTGCTCTCCCCTCTCAGAACCGCCCTTGGCCCGCCCCCTGTCCGCACTTATAGCGGCGGGGCCGCGCCGCCGTGTCGGGAGCCGTCAGGATGGGCGTCGGACCGCGCTGTTCGCCCTGCGCGCTGCTGGCTTTGGCGCTGCCTTTGGCGCTGCCCGCGGAGCTGCTGCTGCCGCACGGCGCCGATCGCGGGGATACGGCGCTGGAGCCCGGCGACGACGCGCGCTCGGCGGCGCTGGAGCTGGGCACGGCGCTGCACTTCTACGGCGCCGCCGTCCGCTCCCTCTACGTGAGTGCGGACGGGGGGGGGGCTGAGCCGTTGGCTGCGGGGTACCGAGCGCTCGCTGCCTCTCGCTGTAGCCCCGGCGCGGGCGGGCGACGGTCCGCAGAGCGACGCGCGCGGTTCCCGTCCAGGACGAGCGCCGTCCGCAGGCACGCTCCGTGCGGACGGCATCTCGTTGTGCTTCGAGCACGCCGAGGTCGCTGAGCTACCGCAGCTGCTCGCAGCCCCAGCGCGGAGGGAGAACCGTAGGCTGCAAGCGGACCCCGTCGCGCGCCCGCACGGCAGCGCTGTGGTGCGCGAGGGGCTCGCGGAGGCGTCGGCTCCTGAGGGCGGGGTTGAAAGCGTTGGCTACAGCGAAGCGAGGCCGATGGTTTGGACCGATCCTAATGGACGTGTTTGAGAAAGTCGGCACCTTTCAGTTCCCGTGCTTGCAAAGTGCAAGACCCCCACGTGGCCGCGGTCATTCAAGGTTGGGTGTAGTTCCCACGTGCTCGAGTCTGTGCCGAAAGATTGAAGGACTCAGGCTGTGCCTCTGTCTGAAGTGGGTGCTGTGACTTGAGGCTGGTGGTGAAGATGAAGGGTGGACATGTGAGGTGTGTCCGGCCTCCACTTTGTCCCCGAGTTCATGGCCTTGCCTGCCAGGCTCTTGGCTGGGTCATTGATTATCCAGCTCACGTGGAAATGCTCTTTTCAAGGCACAGACGTGTTCTTGGAAGGTAGGGGAGCGACCTGCGTGTCAGGCATTGAGATAATAGCAGTGATATGTCAGATAAACAACAGAGAGGGGACAGAGCTCCCAAAGAGCAGCACGTTGGGTAACACCACTGGGTTTCCTCAGCTTGGTGATCTCGGTATGGGCCTGTGGTGTGCCCAGGGATTTTGGATTGGAACAATGTGGGTGCAGAGGTCATTCCAGAATCAGCTTTTGGGCCCTTGTAGCATGATTGCTTGGGCACATCTGATCAGCAGAAGTGTTTTAGGATCAGTCTGCGTGCTATCAGGAGGCTTTTATCTCGTGTTTAATCTGCCACAAGTATTGCTCAGTGGAAGCACAGCAGAAAATGTATGGGGTAGAGAAAGGAGTCTGCGTGTCATGAAGGGTACTGAGCAGCCTTACATGCACCTCCAGAGTGCACAGTTTTATTATATGCTGGCAGTGAGTGCTTACTGAGCTCTGTGATGTTATTCAGTAAGCAGAATTTTCTCAAGGATTTCCAGCAGTCAGTGAATATTACCAAGTTCATAAATTAAAGCATGGTATAAAATGCATATATACAGTACACAAAAGATGTTTTTCATAAGCTTTTGAGTTTTCAGGATGAAGTACATATTTCTGTACGATTCTGCACGATAAAATCATGCTTGTTTTTTACAACTTTCATTTTCATTTGGTTGAAAACATTCATGGATTATTGGATTCTCCCTATTTTCCCAACAGCTGGGGAGCCAGGCTGTTACCTCTACATGCAGATAAAAAGGCAAAGACCTCTGAGGAACAATTGTTTGTTATCAGTGTGTCATAAAATCTCCAGCAACGAAGCTCTTTTCATGGCAGGCAGAGAGAATGTTTATTTAACAAAAGTTGAAACACAAGACTTTCACATACTCTATTTTTCTATGAGAGCTCTATATGCTGAATCCTATTGCTAGCCCATTCTGACCTATTTGTTTTTATAACACACTTCTGTTCAGACTTTTCCAGTTCACAGTGGAGCTCACAGCTGTGGAAAAGCTGAAAGACTGGAAGTGACTTCTTTTTAGGGAGGAATCAGAGTCCATTAAGTCAAGCTTGGTGCAATCCGTTAATTGTTAATTTTTGAGTTGCTTAAGTTAATCATTAGTCATGTTTTAATTAGAAAGTTCTACTGATTTAAATCTACTGACCCTGCTTTATACGAATAAATTCAATTGCTAAGCTCTTTATTTTTTTTATTTTTTTCCTCAGAAGTATTCATATCCTTAAAAAGCCTCCTAACTGGACTGGGAAAAAATGCCATTTGTCTGAAACTTTTTGCTACCCACTTTTTCTTTCGGTAGAAATACTTTGTTGCTTCTTACGTCCTTCTCCTCACTTAATTTCTCAAGATAGGACTGTGATAGACTGTGTAATTTGTTCTGCTACGGATCATGAATGTATGTCAGCTATGCATGTAATCCAGAAGTTTAACATGCTAAAAATAAATCTGTGTTAGTTCCTGTCCATTTAAACAGAATTATACCCTAAAAGGAAAGATGTGCTCTACAGCTGGCCTTTAGAAAATGCCCACCTGGTGCCTTTTTTTTTCCCCTTTTCCCATTGATGAGAATGATCAGAGAATCACAGAACAGGTGGGTTGGAGGAGACCTCTGGGGATCAATGAGTCCAGCCCCCTGCCAAAGCAGCTTTCCCACAGCAGGTTGCAATCATGCTTTAATAAAATCCAGTGTTTATTCTAAATTACCTCTCTGCGTTTTGGGGTTCATGCTTTAACGTATCAGTGTGAGCTTCAAAGAAATGAAGTTAAATCATGCAATTTGCTCTCATATTGCAAATATGTATGTACTGCTAAATGCAAAGACTAAAAACATTTTTTAGTTATGATGAATGTTCTTTCTCTACATTCAGATCTCTTCACAAAGTGCTCAGCCAGTGTATTTATTTTCATCTAATAGCTTGCAAATGTTTTCTTGGTGATAGAGTGCTAGCAACCAAACATTCTCCTTAACCTGAACCATCTCTCATTTATAAAGTAGAAACACAAAATGAGAATGGCTAGTATTTTTGTCTCAGCTGCATTAAATTACTTAATACTTAATTAATACTTAATTTCAGTTTTCTAGCACAGTAGGAAATAGTCAGAAGTGTACCCCCAAAGGATGAAAAGAGGAAGACCAAACCTTAGGTCATTTCTCATGATCTCTATTCTGTTCAGTGACATTAACTAGTCCGGATTGTATTTTCTCTTAATGTTACATTAAATGCCACTGTAGGTGGGGGACCATGCAGTCTTGCACGCACCAGATGTGATGAGGAGCAAAGAGTTTGTATGAAATATTTCAAACACAAGTCATCCATCTGAGCAGTGGGAGTAGGGGTGCTTGCATGCATAAGCAAGAACAAAGAGGAAAACTTTAACTTGACTCTAAATTCTGACTTTAAAGATGGAACATGTCTTCTTGCTGTTGCCTTAGCGAGCAAATTAGCCTAGGGGTCTTCATCTGAAGGAGAAATTACGTAGCAAAGAAATTGGGTCAGATTTGGCCATATGTCCCAATGTAAGAACTAGGGACCATGAAAGGAAGCAGGGAATCAGACTGAAAACAAACAAAGTAGGAGAGACGTCGGGGTATGAGTCATGGATCTGCAGAATTCCTTTTTAAAGGATTTTGTGGAAGCACGATGTTTAGATATGTGGAAAGGAAGACTTAACAAATACTTGAAGGAAACCCACTGAGGATGAGTCAAAGCATAGGGAATCCCTTCAGCTGCGTGTGGATGGAGGTTGACTGCAGAAGTGCATCTGGGCCCTTCTCTTGTTCTTCTGAACCTAAAAGCCAACAGGTGCAGTCTGGTACAGGCTGCTGGGCTGGGTGGCCTTGTAGCCCAAGCTGCTGTAGCCATTAACACACCCATCAAACATTCATAAAGACCATTTAGTGTTATAACTGTCTTAAATGCGTAAGAAGGTCTGGTGGTGGTTTATTTTTCTGGGACACACAGTGAGTGAGAGAAGCCTTTGGGAGGTGGCTGTTTTTAGCGTCATATCCTGTGATGTTGGCTTTGGGACTTCTGCCCTGTGATGGGCTGTTTGCATGTGTGGTAGCAGCTCTGGAGCTGTAAATGCCTGGCTTCGTGCAGCTGGTATAACCTGCCTTGCTACTAGGTCTGTGTCTTCAGACCAAGAGTTTCGTTTTTATTTAATACCCTTTAGGTTTTTTTTGTTTGCTTGTTTGTTTTTTCCCAAGTAAGAGACAGTCTTCCACAGTACAGTGGCAGGGCAGTCTGCTGTAAGGGAATTTACAAGGTGTCCCGTATCTGCTACAGAAAAGAATCACTACTTAACCAAATAAAGTAACTCAATTGCTTCACCTTTCCTGTCCTCAGTCACACCATTGTGAAACTGCTCTGCAGGAGTAACAGCTAAAAGAGAGAGAAACTTTTGGCCACCCCAAACACAAGACTAACTTCAGGCTCAATTTCTTTTAGAAATGCAATGAAAAGTGTTGTGATCTAGATCACACAGATATGGAGGACAACCATTATAAGCAATATTTATCTTACAATATCATTTTTTTTAGGTTGCCACAAATGGGATTATTGCAGTCAATGAACCTAAGGATGAAGAAAAATATCTTGGCCAATTCCCAGTCAGTTTTGGAGCTATTGCTCCTTTTATGGCTGATCTGGATACGACAGATGGACGTGGAAATGTTTATTACAGAGAAGATTCATCCTCAGATGTCTTACAACTCGCATCAGACTATATCAAAGGGGGGTTTCCTGAGGCTGCTTTTGATCCCAGCAGTGTTGTTATTGTTACCTGGAAGCTCGTGGCTCCGTACCAGGGACCTGGAGAAGATCTTACACTGGAAGAAAAGGTAAATGTAAATGAGAGCTCTAAGACGTATTGGATGCATGTCCAGCTGATGTGTAACACTGTTTTCTACTGTTTTGAAGACAAATTCCTTTGTGTTTAAATTAGTCTAGCACCGTTTAGAACGAGTTCTTTAGTTGAAAAGACTGTAACAGAACACAAGCTTCTACAAGTTTTCATTCGGAAGAAAACGCTTGAATCTTAATATCTGACTTATTTGTATTTCCTGACATTGCCGTGCTTTAAATGTTAATTGTGATGGGATAATAACTGAAATATTGGGCTATCTCCTGCCTTCCATCTGTGGAACATAGTCCTTTTTGCTTGCATTGTTCAACAGACTCTGAAGTCATTTTGACACCAAACTATCTAAAACCCGATAAAGACTAACGGGAACTTCAGTCTGTGCATCTGTTTTGGAGAGATGACCCTGTGTTCAGAAAGTCTCATACTTTCTATCTAGTACTGAATGAAGAAGCAGCTAAGGGATACTCTTTGTATTACTTGCAATCCATTTTCTCTTTCAGAATCATATTAGATGCTGTTCAGCAGGGATCTCATAGAGACAAACTATACATTATAATTGTCCCAACTGATGGGCCTGCTCGCAATGGATAAAGCTGAGAACATTATCACAATCTAGAAATCTTGTTTTGTCAGGGATTAATTTCTTGCACCTAACTTGACACAACCATTGTTTTCACAGTAATGACTCTGCACGGTTGTAGCAATGAATGGCTGATATCTGAGCTATAGTCTTGATGGTTCCCACACTTTGTAGGAGCTTTTGGACAGCAAAAGGCAATTGCAGCAATGTGGAAGTTGAACTTTTTTCTTTCTTTTTTTTTTTTTAATATTCTGTTTACCAATACATTCGTGTCAATTTTCTACATATTTTCAGTTACTTCAGTTTAGCACTTCTTTTTTTTTTTTAAGACGACAATAAAGCATGCAGTGCATGTAATTGAGCTTAGAAATGTTATGTTGTAGGCAGCCTCTATGGCTGAGAGATTTAACATACTTTTGGTAAAACTGCTTCAACAGAACATGAACTTGATAATATTGATATTTTATTTTTTTGTTCCCTTGTAAAGTACATGATGTATTCATTATGTGTTACAGAAATTCAAATGTCTTTGTGTTTAAAAAGAAAAAAAAAAAGTTATTTTATTGTCTGTCTTGACTGTTTTTCCATGAGTAAAAGGATTTATTTTTTTTTCCACAGAGGAACACATTCCAGGCTGTTTTAGCCTCTTCTGACTCCAGTTCCTATGCTATTTTCCTTTACCCAGAAGATGGTTTGCAGTTCTATAGTGCGTACTCAAAGAATAATGATGGAAAGATTCCTGCAATGGTTGGCTTTAGTCAGGCCTCCACAAACTACTACTTTTGGGAAAATCCAGGATCCTACAATGTCATTGCTAATGATGAAGACAGCATTAGAAACTTGCATGAGTATGTTTTTTTGTTTGTTTTAATTTATCAAGAAAGTGTCAAGGAGTTGCATGTTTTTCTGAATTGTGTCATGACTCAGAAGGAGATAGTAAGATTCCATTAGCCATTGCATAAGAAATGTCCTAAGTCTGCTGCTGATACTCATCATCTTGAATAACATAAGGACTTTGGTGTAATTTGTCAAAACTCCATAGTTCCATTGCCACTGGTAGGAGCTGCTAAAAATGGACCTTATGAAATTGGACCACTTCAGACTTTAATTCTTAATACTGTGTCATATGAACTCTTTTTTTGTGGGAAAAAATAAATGAGCAATAAGGAAAGGGAGTGGGTTAGAAAGTTCTAACAGGTATTAGCAAGATTTTTGTGACTCAAGTATCTCCTTCTGTTTCCACCTTTGCAGAAAAAAATGCTGTCCAAACTATCAGTGGTGATTTATAGTTGAATGAACTCTATGTGGTGCGTAGTGCTATGTAGATAAGGTAATCATAGAATAATAGAATCATAGAATGGCCTGGGTTGAAAAGGACCACAATGATCATCGAGTTTCAACCCCCTGCTGTGTGCAGGGTCACCAACCACCAGACCAGGCTGCCCAGAGCCCCATCCAGCCTGGCCTTGAATGCCTCCAGGGATGGGGCATCCACAGCCTCCTTGGGCAACCTGTTCCAGTGCGTCACCACCCTGTGTGAAGAACTTCCTCCTAATATCTTACCTAAAGCTCCCCTGTCTCAGTTTAATATCATGTAATCAACTGTTTTTCCTGATATTTCTAAGTGAAGAACAGCATTTTGTGTAGGATAAGAATACCACAAAACATGCATTTGACCTTTTTGATTTGGCCTGTGATCTCTCTGATAGAAGCAGCAATGCTGGGAGACGAGGTGTCTGGGTGTTCGAGATTGGTAGCTCATCTGACACTATTGTGCCTGCCAAGGTCAGCAATGTTCTGGCGAGCCTAGAGCCCAGTGAAGAAGACCAGGAGTTGACTTCAAAACCATTTGTGTCAGACTATGGCTCCACTGAAATAAGACCACAGTATGTCACCAGTAGCACGGACAGTGCGGAAGAGGAGCAGCACATTACATACAGTGTTCCTCAGTTAGCTGTGGAAGACTTTATAACTTCATACCAAGATGTAACAGGAACACCTTCGACTGAATCTTTTTATCGTCATCGAGAATTCCCAACAGCAAAAGCTCCACCTCGCCAGTTCCCAGCCCAGCAGTTCCCCCCACAGGGACCCCAGGTCATAGATGTGGAAGAATTTGATGAAACTGGTATAGGTAAGGCCTTTTATAAAGCTTGGATTGTTCTAATACAGACAGGAAGCAAGAAGATTCAGATTTTCAGATGTGACATTCTGGGTACCTTTAACAATTTTGTGTCATTCATTTGGGAGAGTTTATCTTGAATATCACCTCAGACTCATCCTGCCGGTCTAGTAAAATAGTCCCGCAGTCTGGCTCACAGGAGAGCAGATTCACAGTGCCTGTGGAACCTGATTCTCTCCTAAGGAAAGCTTCCATAGGGATAATGGTATTCCTGATGTTGACATGTTCTTAGTGGGAACTGATTTTGTGTCTTTCATCCAAGACCGTTGTTTAACTTATGATCTGACCTTTAATATCTTAAGTAATTGGTTGTTCCCAGTAAGGATTTTATGATCATTTTTACTGAAACCTGGCTTTTTTCCTTTCACTGTGAGTTAATGAATTCAGGTGATTTAATAAAGGTTGAGGACAGCGATTGCTGTAAAAATCATTTGCTGGTGTAAGGCTGCATGGCCTCAATTTTTGCAGTGGCAGAATTAGCAATTCTAACTTGCAAGGAAGTGTTTATAGAAAGTTCAAAGCAGTGTGACCGACTACCCAGGTACTGTTTCTTGAAATAGATGGCTATTTCCATTTAATAATAGGATGGGCCAACTAGGATTACCGTGTATTTGGTGCATATTCCTGGGTCCTTTACTGATGTTCTTTGTTCTGAAGTTGAAAAGGCTCCTTTTTGTTTTGGTTTGGAAGCAAGCATAGGTTAAAATGATCATCTGCTAGTTTCATCATGACTGTTTGTATGCTCTGTATTAATAGAGATATAATAAGCATTTAGTATACATGTCTGGTGTTTTCTACAGTGTTCCGCTACCACACAGACGTCCAACAGACCTGTGCTAACAATCGCCACCAGTGTTCTGTTCATGCTATTTGCAAAGATTACCCCAATGGATTTTGTTGCAGTTGTATTGCTGGATACAAAGGAAATGGCAGACAATGTGTAGCAGAAGGTAACTTTTCTGAAAATTGGGTGCATATGCAGCTACTACGCTTGATGTTCTTGAATAAGGCAACCTATTTTCATTAGTCAAAGTAAGACGTGGTTATGTGGTTTTTGGAAGAGTTATCACTTGAGATGTTTTGAGAGGTGTTTTAGGTGAGCTATACTTTCTGAGATGATGGTTTTGTATTTTTTAAATGAAGCAGACTGGTTTAAGTAGGCAAGTACATGAACTATGCAACTTTCTAGGAAAAAAAAGTTATTCTGTAACTGAAATAATTTCATAATATAGCATCCAATGTTACCGTTAGAATTAGTTGTGAAGTTCTGGTGTTTTAGAATCTAATGTAGAATCTAATGTAGTCACTCTAGAAAGGGCTGTCTAAAGGGGATGAACAAATTAACTCTGATTATCAATAAAGAGCATGGCTCCTCTTTGTCTGACTCTTAAGCTTCTTTACTGAAGGGCTAATCTGCCAGATTTTTGTTAGATACCCATTTAAACTTTGTTCCTGTGTAAGATCCATAAAGGAATTTCTTGTGTATACACTTGTAATCCTTGTAGTGACTTGACTCAGAATATAGATGCATTTCAACAGCTGAACTAGCTGACTGCAAACTTTGTGTTGTATAAAGAAGGGAAGCAAAACCTACTACACAGCTTTCAGTTCATAAAACTGAGTTTTTCAGAGAAAGAAAAGGATTGAAGGTAATGCAACTTGAATTTGTATGCATTTAGAAAACGATATGGAAGAAAAATAGTAAACCAAAGTAATTACTTCAGTAAAACACTGACAGTCTTCTAACGAATTTTCTTTGAAGGCAGGTAGTCTGATTGCTCTGATCACCTAGTGGTGTTAGGCTTCTAATATGGAATGAGCAAATCTACATTCAGTAGGTATTGATACGAAGTGTGATCTTGCTACTGTAAGAGATACTGTAATAGCATGATCTGTTTATAGAGTTGTCTTTGGAGGAAAAATTGTTAATGAGGATAAAGGGTACTTTTGGAGGCAATTTTGACTGCTTAACTAATGTGACAATACACATGTAACCAAGCTAACACTGTCTGTAGAGAGTTTCCTGTCTGCTGAATTCAGTTGGCATTTTTTTGCCATTCATTTTGACACTGATATCTTTGAACAGGGTGCTCTGAACTCATTCCTTGTAGAGTATTTGAGAACTGTTGTTTTCTACTGATGCACTGCACTGATTTCCCAGGTTCTCCTCAGAGGGTCAATGGGAAAGTCAAAGGACGAATCTTTGTAGGAAATAACCCCGTTCCAGTTACATTTGAGAACACCGATCTCCACTCGTATGTTGTGATGAACCATGGACGTGCCTATACTGCTATCAGCACAATCCCAGAAGCTTTGGGTTATTCTTTGCTGCCTCTTGCCTCTATTGGAGGTGTAATAGGGTGGATGTTTGCTGTGGAGCAGCAAGGATATAAAAATGGATTCAGCATTACCGGTAACTTCTTAATTTAAAATTACGTTTTAAAAGTATGCTGTACTTTCCCTTGTCTTGAGATAAGAAATTCATATATAGAAGCAGTATGACAAATATCTATTTAATCTGAGTTGAAAATTGATTGCTTTGTTACCAAACTTCTCACTGTTTTTCTTGTTTACATATTGGGCTTTTTATCTTACAGTTTCTGCACAAGCATGTAAATTTCTTAGAGAAGAATGGATTGGCCCATTCCCATACAAGAAAGAGATTATTAAAACATATCTGATTTTTGGTTATAGAGTGCACAGAGCTGCTGAAAAAACCTGCCCCTACATTTATAAGACATCTAACATATTTATTTCCTGATTGTGCCAATGAAGCAAAGCACAATGAAAGTCTGATCTCTTGCAGGTCTGAAATTCTTTGTAGGAGAAAATGTTGTATGAAATGCAAATAACCCTGCTAACTTATTTGAAGGAAGCCTCAGATCATAAATATAGCTTTAAAAAACTGTTCAGGGCATTATCTGTTTGTCTGTGCACTTTGATTCAAGCTGTAGGTTCAATTTGCCCTAGGAGAACACATGTTTCTTTTTTAAATTTTATCTTTTACAACCCTGTGCTATGAATTTACTTGAATATAACTTACTGTTTGGGGATTTTAATTGTGTGTGTGTGTGTGTGTGTGTTTGAAGTTTGTTTCAGAATTTACAGCATACAATTTCACCTGGTTTTTATTTAGAAACAGATGTAGGGGATTTTTTGTTTGTTTGTTTTTAAGTGCCTGTATTCTGAATAGACATATTCTTTAAAATATATAGCTCGTTTGCTGTTTTTACTAAGAGGGGCAGGGTGAATATTTTTAGCTTTTCTGAATATATTTATTGTAACTGCTTCTTCAGTTACACTCTCAGTGTAGCATATTCAGTGTTTAAGAGAGTTTCCTTATGACATTATCAATTTGTCTTTGGAAATTATTTCTGTAAGGATTCAGAATATTAACAACTATGTTACATCAAAGCTTGCTTATAGAAAATAGTTTGAATTTGATCTAGTAGAAACAGTTGTGGTGAATAGAAGGATTCAGAAACCACTATTAACTAGTTTAACTGCTTTAACTAATGCTATTGCTGTAGGTGGAGAGTTTACACGGCAAACTGAAGTCACTTTTCTTGGCAACAATGAGAAGCTGGTTATAAAGCAGAAATTCAGTGGAATTGATGAGCATGGTCACCTTACCATCAGCACAGAAATGGAAGGCAGAGTACCTGAGGTCCCCTCTGGTGCATCAGTCCATATTGAACCTTACACTGAACTCTATCACGCCTCTAGTTCTGGTAAGATTCCATAAGAAGTAATTGAGATGTAAGTGCACAATTCTTAGAGTGAAGGATAATCATTACCTTCTTAAAGATGCGCTTGTGACTTTCAGTTTATGTGGTTTTGACTCTTAGAATTGGGTTCCAAAAGAAGGTGGATTTTGTGTGCAGATATTTCTAAACTTTCCATTGAAAAAATGTGAGTCTGAGCTGACGCTACGTGTTCTCTTTTATTAGTCTCATTTTTTACACTGTCAGTGGTAGTCGAACAAATTGCAAAGCTTTTTGTGGAGTCCATAGTTCTCCAGCAGGAGCTGTAGTGGGGTGTACCTATTTGTAGTAACGTCTGTAAATGGGCTTTAATCTTGTTCAGTGAGACCATGCAAACCAATTAGTGTTGTGTGAGCTGCACTTCAGTGACCATGCCCTATGTCTGTAACAAGCATTTATCAGTATTATTTGAGCAGAATTTGAACAACTGTCTAGAAGATTAAGAGACTCTTAATTCCATTATCAGTTTCCTCTGTTATCTCTTCAGTAATTCTGTTCCTTGTCTCAGAGATGCGGTGAGAGAGTAGTTCTTCATTTTGCCATTTACAGTGGAATATTCCTCTCTTTACTTTCCTCTTCCTGGATAATATAATGTATGTCTCAACCCAGCAAAAACAAAGTGATGTTGTAGTGTTCCCGCTGGTCAGCCAGCCCAGCCATCAAGGAGCAATAGAGAGGAAGAGCAGTAAGCAGTGCTCCTAAATGCATCTGGATATGAGAGGCAGCATTTTCCTCTAGTGGCGCCCTTTGATTGTTACAGGTAGCTTAAATGGTGTAGTTGCTCCATCACTGCATTATATCTGCTGATATCTGACCTTCGTACCTGGTACTTAGCCCCTGTTGCTGCTTTGCCTGTCCTTATGAGCTCTGAAATGATAGAAGCAGCAGGAAGATTCTATTTTGTGCTAAACAACTTCAGAGATTTGGAGGAGTTCTTTGGGCAGATTCATCTAAAGGAATTTGTACATTTCCTGAGTTAAATTTTCCTTTCATTTCCTGGCAACCCATAAATTTTAGCTGAATTTTTAAATTATGGCAGAATAAATTGTGTCCCATCCCTTACAACTGTGCTGAGCACAGAACAAGTCCAACCAAATGCCTGTTCCTTTGCCTGAAAATGGATTTGTATGGCAGTGAACAGAGATTTTTGCTTTCTGTTCTGATCTGAGTATGTTGCCATGTTGCAGTGATCACTTCATCATCCACCAGAGAGTATACAGTGACAGAGCCTGAAAGGGATGGAGTTGCTTCCACGTACACTGGTGCCTATCAGTGGCGACAAACCATCTCCTTTGATGAATGCATTCATGATGACACTCTCCATGCTGCTCCTGCTACTCAGCAGCTCTCAGTGGACAGTATATTTGTTCTGTATAACAGAGACGAGCAAATTCTGCGTTATGCTATGAGCAATTCTATTGGCCCCATCAGTGGTATGTATGAATTCAAAGTATTTCTTTGTCACTACTGTTATTAAAAGTATGTTTCCGTATTCTTTTAGTTTGCATTAGCTGAGTATTAATTAAATTCATTAGTTACGTTTATTAGCAGATGTGGATTCATCAGTTAAGAAGAGAAACAAGACTGTTGCAGTTGGTGGTTATACCTGGGGAAGGGTATTTTTCTTTTCCTGAAGTCCATTGAAGTTTGTGTCTAACTTCTTGAAGTACTCTCAGCGTACTAGCTTGAATATATTGCTGCTTAGAGGTGTAAAGTTGTGCCAGTTTTCTTCACTTGATACCTAGGTCTTTATTAACAATTGTTTTGTGTGTTGTCAGAGCAAAGAGCAAAAGAGGGGAAAAAGGTCTATCTTTGAAAAAGCTAGTTTCTGTAGTTTATCTTGATTCATGGAACAATACTTGTAAGGTGGGAAGCCTCTGAAATGTATTTTCTAGGAGAACATTCCAGACTTTTTCTGTGTCTACTGAAATCAGAATAAAAACAAAGGAGCAATAGGAAAATCCTTAACAGGTAAGTACAGAAGGGACGATACTCACTTCTGTTTGTTCAAAAAATAAAGTTCAATCAATTAAAAATAGCAAAGCAAGCTGTTAAGAATCACATTTTGAGTCTAGGTTAATTTCAGGAAGATGCTTTATCTTGGTTAGGTTTCCTTTTTTTTAGTGAGTTTTGTGTGACTCTTCTTTTAAATTTTTATGGTCCTTTGCCAAAGTTACAAAAAATACCAATGACATTGTCATCTGGGATTGATGTTTTGCATCAATCCCCTTCGTCCTGATGCAAAATAAAATAATAATAATAATAAAAAAAAGCTTTTTGCTTGTTTCATTCATGCTATAAGCAGTGTCCTCCTGGACCTTATCTGAGTCTGATTACTTGATAGGTTTGTCATGGCTAAATATGGTCTTTCTTTTCAGATGGTTCTGCTGATATTAGCCGGAATCCTTGCTACACTGGTACCCATAACTGTGACACCAATGCAGTATGTCGTGCAGGAACTGGGAATCGTTTCTCCTGTGAATGTTCGATTGGGTTCCGTGGAGATGGAAACGTTTGTTATGGTATCAGAAGATTTTCTTTAGAAAATGTATAATTTGTTTTGCTCGGAATGTATTGACTCTCATTTTGAAGAAGATTGAGGAATCGTAGGTTAAAGGGATGTTGGAGTAGCTAAATGTGTGATTAATCACAGTCAGTAAGTTTGATTGTCTTGAAGAGTCAAACCTGGATATGTTTTGCTAGCTTACAAAGCATCTTTCCTATGTAGTTCCTCTTCTCATAAGACTTGTGGAGACTTAGCTGTAAGAAGTGCAACATTCTGCAAATTCCGGTAAATATGAGTCAACTAAGTTAAAAGTTCTTAAAGGCAATGTGGAATGCTTGCAGGGCATGGGTATCAGAACCCAATGAAATAATCTTTTTTAGGATATGCTTTGAAAATCCCTTTTGTTCAAGTCTATAGGACCAAAGGTCCAAATACTTATGTTGTTCTTCAGGCAAGTTTGTTTCCCAGCATTGTAAAGCGTTTCTGTTGTCTAAGATCTTCTCTTTGTAGTAACTTGGCGGGGTTTTGAGACGTTTTGTAAGAGCTGCCCAAATAGTGAAAGTTCCATGTCTTTATTTGGTTATCTTCCTGGCAAGGAAATGTGTTGCTAAGTGTAGAAATCTGAACCTAAAATAAAACCTATGATAAATCATTATCATCATCACCTTTACAGTATGAAGTTCCCTTCTTTTCATATTTTAGTCTCTTCTGCATGCTCCAGGTCGTAGCATAAACTTCACAGGAGCCTTCTTGCTGGAGACCTCCAAAATTTCATTTTTGGGGTGTGAGGTACACAGCTTGCAGTAAAAAGTAGTGAAGCAGAACCTCTGCAGTTTAACTAAACTACAGATGGTGTCTGTTTTGTTGCACAGTTTAATAAAATCTTAGATCATCTTAGCTTCTGAGCTTGGGATCTGTACCTCTTACATGTGTACGTACAGCTGTTAGTAGACAATTAGATTTGGAATTAATTAAAAGATTTTGCAGATAAAATAATTACTGTATATATGATCTAAAATGCGTTTTAGAACCAAATTTAACGGTTATATCCCCTATGTTACTTTACTCCAGATTTTAACATAATAATACACATAAATTCTGTGTATTTGTCATTTACTGTGCTAAAGAGCAACCTCAATTTGTTAGGCTTTGATGTATGGATAACTGAAGGAGAATTCTTTCCTAAAGTTCCTAGTTATCCTGCATCTTCTTTCCCAAAGGCTTCTCCTCCGTCCCTGGTTTCCTGGCCAACTCCTCTATAAAACCTCTCCTGTGGTTTTTCTTTGTTTGTTTGTTTGTTTTTGTGCAGATTAGCTGAGGTCACAGTTAACTGAAAACTTATTTTCCGGTTGCTAATTACTTTTAAGGGGTGTAGACTATCCAAGATGTGGATTAGATACACAAGCCTGCTATCATTTAACACGCAGTTTCTGTTTTTCTGGCATTGGTTTTAAAGGTGTTTTTATAGTGACAGAAATCCTTGTATAATATTCTAGATATTGATGAGTGTTCGGAGCAGCCAGGTGCATGTGGCAGCAATGCAGTCTGCAATAACCAGCCGGGAACGTACCGATGTGAGTGTGTTGATGGATACCAGTTTGCAGCAGATGGGCGGACTTGTGTTGGTGAGTTTCACACTTAAAAGCACTGCCCGCTGGCTTTTGGGTTGTAGCTTGTCTTACAGAAACAGATGATGGCTTCTGGGGTCATGCTGGCTTCTAACACCGGTTGAATGTAGGAGTTTGTGCTGCAGTTAGTGATTACCAACTGTTAGGCACTGAAGAGGGTCCCTGAAGAACTTTGTTTTCTATCTGATAAAAACTTCCCCATTCAGAATGTTTTTGAGTACAAAATGGAAACATTTATTGAATGCTTCTGTCTTTTCTATACCGTGACTTAATAGCAGATTTTGCATAGAAATAAAATACAAAATCGTGAAAGAAGAGTGCCAAGATACTACTTGCCCAGCTTGAAAGACTTTGGTGTGATCTCTTTCTTCAATCCTGAAGAAACTTAGCATTCTTATTTCTCTATCTGTTGGTTTACAGCCCCTGAATGACTTGAACCTGAGACAGGGCAACAGCACCCTTCTTTCTGCTTATGTGGTTTGATGTGGAACCGCAGCTTTTTCATACCAGCTCTGTGACTCGCTGTGTTAATAAGAGAATTGTAAATGAATCTGGTTCTTCTATTTGTAGACTGAGGGATAACAGAACTTGGGAGCTCCCTAGGAATTCCAGCTCTAAGGCTAATGCTATTCTGAACAGATTATTTTGTAATCTAAATCTTGCTCTGTGAAGCAGAACAGATAAAAATGATTCTTACAATGACATTGTCTCCTCCAGAGATATGAACAAAATATCTGTTTCCAGATCTGACTATGATGGCAGATTTTTGTCTTTTTTTCCCCTGCTGATACTGTGGTAGTTTCCATCTGTGTACTGTGATGAAAGGAGCATTGTGGACTCTGGTCCTGGTCCCCTGTCAACTCCTAGGAAGGAATTGCATAAAGAAAGCCCCAGTGGACTCTTACAGCAGCTGTAAATCTGTTCCTAGACGTGCTCACTGCAAAACCACATTTTTCTTGCCCTAACCTTTTTGTGTTATTTTGCCTCTTTCTTTTTCAAATATAGTGGTTTCTTTTCCTGTTCTCTGACATAACAGGTAAGCATAGGCAAAGCTCCAGCGACTACCTAAAGTACTGTTGTGTGTAGAGCAGTGCTTGCAGCATATCAGCACTGTCACCAATGAGAAATCATGAAAAGCTGCAGGCCTGGCCCCAGCTGCTGCAGTTGGTCAAAATTTCTCCAAGAGCTGACAAATGTGTTTACCTCCGATTAAGTGAGTCACATCTCCCATCTCTTGCCAAGCGATGACAGTCTTGGGTCAAAGCTAGGTTAGTGTAGCAGGATATTTTAATTCCCAGTGCAATGAACTGGCTGCTCAGCCAATGTGTGAGGTGCCTCTAGGAGAGATGCCTTACATTTCTTCGTTGAGGACTCCTTTTTATAAACAAAACTCGCATAGATGTTAGGATCTATGGGTGCTGTAGCCTTTTTGTTCTATTTAATGCTAACAGACACTTCTGAGGTGTTGCAGGCAGTCCATACCTTGTAGAACATCAGTAAGTTTTAACACTGGCATAATGGAAGAGCTTTAAAATACAGCAAAACAAAAACTGCAACCCCTCCAAGCAAAACAGTTTCTGTGTTTCTTTTTTCTTCTCTGAGCCTTCACAGCTGTGCTCTCTACAAATGTATTACAAGCTTCAAACGTTGCAGAGGAAAATTCAGACTTTCTCTCTTCTCTCGTGTGTCTAACCTGCAGCTGTTGAATACGCCGTAAACCACTGTCAGACGGGCACACATGGCTGCGACATCCCTCAGCGTGCTCAGTGCGTGTACACTGGTGGGTCTGCCTACATCTGCACGTGCCTCCCTGGCTTCTCTGGAGATGGACGTGCCTGTGAGGGTGAGTAGTGCCATTTGCTGTGTCTTTTCATACTCTTCATTGCACAACTTGGCTGCTCATTGCAATTTCCTGTAGTTGCTTCTGATTTAAAATAGGAAGATTTGTACCTTACGTCCTGCAGGCAAACATCGTAAGCTCTTGTTCTTTACTCTCCCGTTTTTAGTTCGTTCCTCAATATTTGTTCTCCAGCAGGTCCAAGATGAGGTAGCTGCACAAATGGAAGTAGCTGCATTTAGGGGATCAGATCCACACATGCTGGAACTGTCTGCTCTGTACTGGTTTATGTGGCTAAGGTGGTGACACACAGTGCTCAGAATTCAGAATCTGTAAAAATGTTATACTGTGTTTCATGTCAGTTGGAGTGCAGTGGGAGAGAAGCTTTACCTAAACACATCAAAAATCTTGCTGGCCAAATTCAGCCTTTCTTCTTGCATTTATGTATTTTTCCTTTCCTCTTTCTCCTTTCTTATGGGCATACATTTCTAAAATCCTGTGTGAATTTACAGTGCCAGTACCCGTGAGAACAGCAGGGTAGAAGGATATGCCAACTGCCAGAATCTAAATTATATGCATGCTTTTTCTTTTCATTTCTGTATTCTTCCAAAAGTCTTTAATTCTAGTCATATGGCCTAAAATAGGAGCCTGATAGTAATAAGCCAGGTTTGCACTCAAATTCCCCCTCTGGTTTGTTAGTTATTCTCCGTCATGAGGAATATTTATTGAAGACTGATCTTTTACTTTACAGATATAGACGAATGTCAGCAGGGCCGCTGTCATCCAGATGCTTTCTGCTACAACACACCCGGATCCTTTAGCTGCCAGTGTAAGGCAGGTTATCGTGGGGATGGTTTCCAGTGTGTGTTAGGAGGTAAAATTTTATAGTTCTTGAAAATTAGAGCATAAATGCAATTTAGGAATTGGAGAATATATGGTTCTCTGGAAAAAAATTGTATTTTGTCTCACTGGGGGCTTTGTTCTATCTCGTGTCCCTTGAGGTCTGAACACCAAGCTTGTGCCAGTGTCTGTCTATTGACTGTTATTGCTTTTCCTGCTCAGTTATTGTTTTATGTTTTGTCTCCCCCCAGGCAGTTCTCAGCTCTATGCTGATGCTACCTTTTGAATTTGCCTTATGTAATGATTTGACCACAAACTAATTTTGTTTTCCATAAACAATAGTCACATATCTTAAAACACATGGAACTGTTGGCGATGTAAATGAAATGCAACAAGTACAGGAGAAAATCACACAGAATGGCTCGGGTTGGAAAGGACCTCAAGGATCATGAATCTCCAACCCCCTTGCCACAGGCAGGAGCACCAACCTCCCCGTTTAATACTAGACCAGGCTGCCCAGGGCCCCATCCAGTCTGGCCTTGAACACCAGAAAAAGAGAAGGATGAAACTGGATGTCTGCATTTCAAGTGTAGTCAGCCAGAGTCCAGAACGACTGACTGCTGGTTCTAATTAACTCCTAGATTTTTCTGTATTTACTCAGTTTATTCCCTAGTTAGCATAAAGCTCTTTCCACACTTATGCTTTTGCAGTCTAGTTTGGGCCTTGAAGTAGTGAGGAATACTAAAGCTCAAAGTAGCATTGTTACAGTTATTCCTGTTCAAAAGCATGAAAAACCTAGGTGACAGTTGAATGCTTTAATCCAGGAAACAAATAAAGCTTACCTTCTTGGTACATTTGAACCTATTTCAGCTTCTGAGATTCTTGCTCTTAGGCTAAAGACACTGCACCTCTCCACAGATTGAAACTCAAAATGTACAGCCAACAGTAAAAAGGTCACAGGGCCAAGGGAAAAAGAAGCAAAAAGCAGTAGGACTGAGGAGGGAGGCTGTCTTTATAAATCAGCTTCTGCACTGTTTTAATGATGTCCAAAATACTTGATATTTCAAAACTGAGACTTTTCTTTGTATCAAATGATCTGCTGGCTTAAAAGTGCTTGTTTGAATTACCTGAATCTCTACCTGATGTGTTGCTGAACTTATTTCTCTTTTGCCGCTGTCTTCCCTAATTCTGAAGTTCTGTCATTCTTGTATAGTAGGGTACTAATGCCTCAAAACGAAGAGTTGATGGATGACTTACAGGAAAAACAAATCACAGGGTGATTTCTGGTTTTAAATCATGTTTGCATGACTTCATCAGGTGCTCAACAGCATATATTATGTCAAATCATTGAGTGTTTCCATTGTAGGTAAATTGTGGGAGGTGTGGTGGTATTTAATTCTGAAGCTTTAGCTTTTTCCATTTTTATGTCAGTCTTTCAACTTTGCTTTCAACTTATTTTTAATGCACCAATGTTCATGAATGTTTTCAGTTTAATGCCAGATGAATGAAGAACTACCTGGTGTTTCTGACCAAGGTTGAAACATTCATGTAATGACCCTGTTGATAAAAACAGGATTATTACTCATAAAGGAGAACCTTGATGTGAGAAGCTTGAAGCAAAATCAATCCTTAGGACTTCTGGTTCTTAAAGAAGGATTGCAGAATGAGAAATACTGCTTTCATGTCTGGCACATTCCCCTTTGTAGCTGAAGCAGATAGTTTGGCAGATTGATAATTGAATTCAATCAATTCAATTCAATCAGCTCTATTACCACGGCGTATTTCATTTCTTCTGAGTTCATGTGATAGCATATTTGTTGCTGTTGTTCAGAACACCACCTTTTCACGTCAGCTTATCTACTCAACTGCTAAGTGTACCGTGCTATTTTGTTGAAGCTTTATATTATTTTTCTACTTATCCTAGATGCTTCTTGATTTTGTTTTCATACTCAATATAAATGTAGCTTGAATGGGGATGACTATCTTTTCAGCTTGGCTACTGGACGCCTCACTGTTGGGCCTCAGCACCATGTGGAATGCCTCTTCTGCAGCAGTGCTGCTGCCTCTGGCTCCTCTTTGGCCCTTATAGCTGCTTGAAGCTCAGAATGCTTGTCTGTTTGCAGGCTAAGGCTAAGTAAATTTTTTGTGTAACAGGCTTGGTATGTCTTTGTTTCTTAGTATGCTGGCAGAATAACTGAATCATCAAATCCCCTTGCATTCAGTTACCTGAATGGATAATTTTCTTATGTCTAATGTTTTAGTAGGTGGGGGTCTGCCAGATTTTCTCACATGTCTCACATCTTCTTTGTTTGTTTGTTTTTTAATTCAGTTTTGTACCAGAAGACATGCTTTGGAAACACTCGCATTGTTTGTGCTCATGAAATTCTCTGAGCAGGGAAATAAAAGTTTTATAGATGAGAAGTCCTGCTGTTGGCTGAATCCTGCCTAAAGTAGGAGTATCTGCATTGCCCGGCTGGTCTGTGGCAATGGCAGTGTTTACAACAAGCACGGCTACTCCTCTCTTCTTTGAGAGTTAATAGAACAATAGCTGCTCTTGGAACATCATCTTATTGCTAAAGCTTGAGTACTTCTAAAATGGATATATCCAAGTGTTAATCATTGCCAGTAGCTGCAATCAGACAAGTTTCTGAAGCTCTGCAAAAAGCAGCTTAGTTTACTTTAGCACCCAATTTGTAAACCAACTTACTTCAGGGTGGAGGTTCCAGGTGAGAATCCATTGTATTCAGATGTCATTAGAGAGCCTTTCTTCCCCTTTTACCTGATAAAGTTTTGATCTAATTAGTCTTAGTCAAATCACTGAAGTCTTTCCTGGTTGTTAATAGCATGGAAAGTTTCATTCATCTGAATTACTCTGTTCTTTTTGCTGTCCTTTTCCAAACAATATGTTCAATCGCTTGCTTGTTTGGTGCCTTTATTAATATATGGAACATACTATTGAACTTTACCACTGCTGAATGGCTGCGCTCAAAGCAAGGAGACTAACAAGTAAAATGGATTTGAGTTGTATGTAAGTGAATGTTGTAGGAGCAAACCCATAGGTTAATGAAAGAGTTAATGATGCTGGAATGTCTCACTGCTCACAGCTATTAAGAATGTCTGTACTTCATTATTTCCTCACGCTTCATTTTTCCATTTCAAAAAAACAGATGTCTGAGTGTTTCTACCCCTGCAGACCCCAGACACTGTTTACTAAACAGAAACAAATCTGGGTTCTTGGACTGGGGGTCTGACCGTTAGAGCCATTTGCTGGTGCTCTGTACACAGTTTGTTTCACGTGAAAAACGCACGGGGCAATGCTGCAAGTGACAGACTGCAAGGCAAAATGAATGGACAAAGGGCAGAGTGTTGTTTTGTTTTGTTCTCTTCCTTTTTTGGCAGTGTCTGAGAAGGGCAGTTAAAAGTGCTGGTATAACTGTGATATTTGGGGAATAAAGTGAGTTACACTGGAAATTCAAAAAGTACTCTTTCGGGTACTCTTGTACTGGACAGAGCTTTATTATCACTTCTCTGTCTTCAGCTTGTGAATTAAAACCTCTTTGAGCAGTTACATCAGATCTTTGAAAAATTCTAAACGCTGTCACAAACTGATTAAATTTGATGTAGAGCATTAGTCTGTAATACCTCTTGAAAGGCGGACGAGAAGTCCCACAAATCCCTGTTCCTCATCCTGCTTTCCCAGCCTCCTTTTTTTTTTTTTTTTTTTTTTTTAAGTCCATAAATGATCTTCTGCAGTACTGCTACAATGACCAGATGCTTTATGACCAAAAGTGATTTTGAATGTTTGCATATGGGTTTGTTTGTTGATTTGCTTTTTACCCCAATTCTGTTTATTTCTTTGCTTATGTGGGGAATGTGTATATGTCTCTTTTTTGTCTGGGCCACTTTCAGTATCCAGGCTATTTACAGTTTGTTTTTTCAAGTTTTGTGCTGTTTTCCAGAATTTTAAATTCTGCACTGCTAGTGCTGGTTTCTAAAACAACCAGAAAATATATGTTGAAAACGTTAAATACAAATTTCTTTTTCTGAAGAAGATCATTCACGGCTACTCCTCTCTTCTTTGAGAGTTAATAGAACAATAGCTGCTCTTGGAACATCATCTTATTGCTGAAGCTTGAGTACTTCTAAAATGGATATATCCAACCGTTAATAAGCTTGAGCTCAGGGGGCGCCATTCCATGGAACTAGACTAGTGTGTGCTGTGGCCTACTGAACGTCACATCCTGGGCACTCTGCATTTCTGTTCTGCTGCAGGAGCTCCTCTCTTCTCTCTTTAGAGACTGGTGTACATGGTGTATTCCAAGTGCAACCGTTTATTTGCGTGAATCAGCGTGTTGATTTTAATGAGCTCTATTTACCCAGTAATGAGGTCTTATCCTTCTCATCTTTTGTGTCCTATTTCTCTTCCAAGTGACATGATCTGTGGCTATGTATCTGCCTTCAGAGCCCTAATAAAGAAATCAAATTTAAAACCAAACTAGGGTAATGTGGTAGCTTGCTAGAAATACTACTACTTAATTACTTTTTTCCACTGACTCAAATATTTCTCATTTTTACCTTTTTTTTTTTTTTACCTGTAGTGAGTTGAGTGCTATAAACAAAATTTGAGATAATGTAGACTTTCCTTCAGGGTTTGATTTTGTAACTTGACTCAAGACTCCTCGCCACCCACACTAAAGCTGAGGCCAAGTATTTTATTTGTTTGGACTGAGCTGTTCTCCAGACATTTGTATTTCTCTAATTGTGTCCAGGTGCACAGAACTTTTCCAAAGTTTTTGCTTGCGTAACACTTTTTTTTTAATTTTATTGGTACATGTCTTGCTATTACACCACAGTAGTCTATAGGCACGTGGGATTAGGTTCTTACTCTGCTGGACTGAGTCTATTCTGAGCCATACAGACATAGCTAACTGCCCACTAGACAATGTCAAAGTGAGGAAGTAAATGTAAGTGTAATGCTTGATCTCATTGTTAGACAGTTTTTGTTAAGTATTTCTAGCTGTCTATAGAAATCAGGAAGAGGCTATTCCCCTCATAATTAGACATCTTTCTCTCCCATTGCGCAGAGCCCCTCAGGTCTCAAGTGTAAGGACAAAATGGCACAGATTTACTTGTGTGGAGAGGGAAAAAGTTTATTGTATTCTGTTGATTTCACTGAGCTGTTTGATATCTGAAAGGATATATTTGTCTAGGTGACATTCCCTATTACATGACACGTAACAGCAAAGGAAGATTTATTCTTCTGTACAGACTGCTTTGTAAAATTGAAACCAGAAGAAACTGATCCCTGAATCTCTTGATAATATGGAAAACCATTTTTCTTCTGTAATCTCTGTATTAACACGTATAGCCAATGCGTATTACATGTTTCTCTCTATGTATAGTAGTATTCCAGGTTTCAGTACAGCCTTGCTTATGTGCCTTACCAGGAACTGAGCAATCTGTTCTTGCTGTTCCTTTCTTGGGTCCAAAAGCATCAAGCGAGCTCTCACATTTGATGCCTCAACTTTAAAAATCTAATATGCATCAGAGCAGTAAGTTGTCTCATTTCCTAGGCTCTATAGAGAGCTCAGCATCTGCTTTGTGTTATGATTTTTTTTCTCTTGTCCCTCTGAAGGGAAACTTGACTTTTAGCATTACAAAAAAATTTTGTCCACTGTATAGCCTGGCTAATTAGTCACATATTGAAGTCCATGGGTATTTGCCAAACAAGTAGACATTGGGGGTCAAAAGCTGGACAGAATGTTCTTGCTAATGTACTTCTAGGAGAAATAATGTTTTCCAGCTTCTCTTTTATGACCTTTCAATGTAGGAAGCTGCAAGGGAGCTTCTTGTTTTGTTTTAAATTGAACAGTGAAAAATATTGAAAATTATGTAGAGTCATGGCAAATGTGTTAAATCTACATAGGGCAGACTGTTTCTGAAGGTGCACTGATGGTGTATACCTTCTACATTTGTATCATGTTCCTCCAATAGCGATAATACATGTTTTATGAGTGCACAGTAACTGCTAATGGAGCATAGTTATTAATTGAAGCACAAACATTCACTGGTCTGTTTTTTTTCATAGGAGTGGTAAAGACCAAATGCCAGCGCGAGAAAGAAGTAGCTCTTGGAAGTGGAGGCACTTTCTTCCAAAGAGAAATAAGAGTTGGTCAGTTCATTCCCCAGTGCGATGAACATGGGAATTATGTACCCACTCAGTGCCATGGCAGCACTGGATATTGTTGGTGTGTGGATAGAGATGGAAATGAGATTGATGGCACCAGAAGTGGACCAGGAGTTCGACCACCATGTAAGTGGCTGAAGAGCTTGTTTCTTTCGGGTGTCTGTTCTCCAGTGTGCACTGTTTCCCAAACATGGGGCCCCTGAGATGTAGCACTGAATTAAAGCAATGCAGGCTTCTCTTGAATCAGTGACAGTTTGCCTCATGCTGCAGCCCTTCATTTATGAAGGGCTCCATTTATGCTTTTTCTTCAGCCAGGGCATCTGGACAACTCTGATGAGATGGTTTTCTGACTTCTTTCCTACTTTGAAACTGTGAGAGGCCCCTATAAGTTTCTGCCCTCTGGGAACCTCTGAATGTATGATAAATGGCTGCTGCCTCAGGAAATGAAGGATATTCCTTCCAACCTCTTCATCACTTCAACTGCAAAATAAGATAGGCTTTTTTGAACATTTAAAGGAAGGAGCAATTACAGAGCTGAACATGAAAAGATCCATTATGTCAATGGCTTTCTTCTGTCAGCAAAGGCAAAAAAAAAAAAAAAAAAAAAATCTTTCTGCATCTGATTAGAGTTGTTAGTGTCTACTTATCAGGCCATTCCCTACAGAAGCCTGTCTGTAATTGTCTTTGTATGTAAGAAGGCGCCTTGTTACACTGCACGAGCTAATTTTGTTGCCATCTGTTTCTTTTTCTTTGGACAAGGTCTGAGCACAGCTGCTCCTCCTGTTGGTATTGGGCCCTCTGTTCGACCCGACACAATACCACTGCCTCCAGGAACACATTTGCTTTTTGCCCAAAGTGGGAAAATTGAACATGTTCCATTGGAGGGAAACAACATGAAGAAAAATGGTGCAAAAGCGCTCTTGCATATCCCGGTAAGTAACCTACTGTAAAAACCAGTGTGTCTTGGAGGAGCTGCAATGCAGATGAAAGTGATTGTTTGTCATCTTTGTCGTTTGATAATTTAAGTTTCAAACTCAATTTTTATTTTTTGTTAAGATTTTGGTATCTCAGCACTTTGACACTGAATTTTTGATCTGACTATTTAAAAAAAAAATAAATAACTCAGCTATAGAAAAAAGTCATTTGCTTTTAAAGAATAGATCATAGGCCAAAAAAATTAATATTCGTGATCTCATATGCCTCCAACAGTTGACTTTATAAATACTCCTAGCCTCACGTTTCCATTGCTGTAAAAATCTACAAGACCTGCAAGACCTAAAGCTCTTTTTTATTCCTCTCAAATTTTTGTCCTACATCTTAATCTATTCCTAGTCTTCAGTCATTTCTCAGCATTTCTTGGCTGCAGATATACAGAAAATCTTTTTCTTGTTTCCTTTTTCATGTGCAGGCCCAGTGGGTGGTAGATATTTTTCCCACACTTCTTACTACTGTCTTGAGAATCTTTTTTCCTTGCAAATGAATCCCTGATGTTCTCCATTACCTGTGAAACACACAAGCTTTCCCCGCTTCCAGTTTTGTCACGTTCATGTTGCCTGAAACATGGGATTTGTATTTTCATTCCAGAGTGAGAGTATTTATAATAGTTAGCAAAAGCAGATATCATGGTGGCCTAATAGATGAAATACAGACTAAATTATACAAATTCAGTTCAGTAAATAGTACTGCAAACTGTATTGTGATACTGTATGTAAGGGCGAAACTCAGCTTTTTTCTCTTGTCCAGTGTTCTGCTGCAGTAGTGCTTTAAAGAAAGTACTTTCATTAGTAGAACTGGAATTATGATGATATAGGCACACAGTGCTGACTCTCTGTCAGCTAGTCTTATTACTTACTTGGTCTAGCTTAGGACTATCTTCAGGAAAGAGCTTTCAAAAGATAACATGCAACTCTTCATTAATACTTTAATTAAACTCTCAGTCTCTGCTATTAGCGTTTCTTTTTTTTTTATGTTGTCTTAGTGTTGTGTATTTGGGAAGTGACAGCATGAAGACATTTAGATTGTTCAGTACTCTATAGCATTATTGTAGGCTCAGTAATAAGTCATCTCTGTTCTGGTGCATGTTTTTGGACCAGTTCTCTAAGAAGCTGCTCATCTTTCATTTTCTGTTGAATGAATGAGAATCTTAAGTAGCACAAGCAGCAAAGGAGGTAGACTCAGTAATCCATGATAAATTAGCATTGGAAGGAGCTTACACTCTACACTCGAATCTTCAGACCTATCTTCTTTTGCCCAAAAAATCACTTCCTCCCCTATGAGAATATTCATTCCACCAGAAAGATTTATTTGTGGAGTATTCCCAAAACTGTTATTTAATGAACTTACTTTGCTAATAATTGATACATTTTAAGTAACTTCTGAAATGCAGCCATTGTGGGTGAAGTGATGAATATGCAGGAAGAATAAAGGAGAGAAAGCAGATGAGGAATTATACAGTAAGATGTTAGCAAGAACTTTCTTTAAATGAGCATAAGTACATTTTTTGGAGTAAGCTCTGTGAATAGTGTCTGTTTGTTAAAAGGAACTTACAATTGAAAGTACTGTTCTAAGCTACTCTACAGTGACTGCCCACACTGTCCTTTTCTCTGCTTGATCTTATTTGCTTGCTGATCAACAGGACAAAGTTATTATTGGAGTTGCTTATGACTGCGTGGACAAGATGGTTTACTGGACAGACATCAGTGGTCCATCAATCAGCAGAGCTAGCCTGCATGGTGGGGAGCCAACGACCATCATCAGAACAGGTGACAGTATCAAGTTCTTCCTCTTCCTGCTTCCTATTAATGGCATTAACGACATGAATTTAATAATAATTCTCAGGTGTTACTTGAGCTTTAGCATTACAAGTGGCTATTATTTGCATAAATGATACCGCAAAAGCTTTGGTAACCTAAAATGAAGAAGGATTTATTTCCTGTGTAGTAGCACTTCACTGCAATGCTTATGCTACATTACAGTTTGTGTTACAGTTTTGATGATTCTTTGATGTAGGAAAATCATGGAAGCTTTTCGTCAGTCAGTGGATGTGCAGACAAAGGTGATGCAGTAAGAATTGTGTGGCTGGATTTTTGAAAAGCTTTTGTGAAGTTCTTTGCAAAGAACCTCTGAATAGATTTAAAATGGTCCTCTGCTGAACTAATACTTTGTTATTGGCTGAATAAATGATAAGAACAAGGGTAGCAGCAAATGAGGGGTGTTCATGATGGAATTGAGGTATCAAAAGCCTAGAGCATTTAAAATTTCTTAAAAGGTTAAGAAGAAGGACAGGTTTAGGGAACCAAGTGAATGTGGAGCATGAGGGGAAAAAAAAAACAAACAGCAAAAGTAGCTAGAGGGAGGCACTTTTTACATACTCATTCATGTCCTTGAGATCCTAGAATACTTGTCAAGATATTAGAGTTTCTTGCTTTTGATACTTTCCAGGTATTGGCATTGAAATGTAGGAAATTAAGTTAGCAAAATAAACAACTAGTTCTAAAACTCTATAATAAATTTGCCTTGGTTTTGTTTGGATGAGTTGCATATCTCTACCTGAAGTATGTGCTTCAGAATAGCCAGCTTGTTGGTGCTCCATTTAGACTCTCGGGGCAATGGAGAGATGGGAGCAGCTTGGATTGTGCTTTTGTCCTGGGAAGGATTAAGGGAAAACTTAAAGCCATTCCTAACCACAACAGTAACTATTTCTGTACAACTTGTTGGCTGAGGAATTTGTAGAACTTCCTTTTAATCCTAACATTTTTAATTTAAGAGAGACTTTAAGCGATAATGTAAGCATGTGCATGTATAACTACAATGTCAATGGGGAAAGAATTTCCAGTCTCTACCATCTGAGGATCTACTCTTCAAGGATTTTGCCAGGTTGTGCACTTTAAAGAGTGAAGGGAATTGCTATTGCTGAAGATCTTGTATATGTATGAATTGTTCTATCTAATGAGACTGTGTGTGAGTGCCTTGAAAGCCTTGCAGTATATAAAGTATTTTATGAATATTTGTGAAGGCTTTCAACTAAATAAGATTATTTTATGTAACTCAAAGTACTTAAAACATGCCACTGCTGCATAGGAACTTTGTGTTTTTATCTGCTACAAAAAACGCTTTATATGTAAAAGTATCTCCTAATTTCTATTGTCTTGTTGTTCACTTAGGATGTATTTGGTATTCCTGAAGAGATCTTGAGCAATGTTTCTCTTTACTTCCTGTGTGGAAATGTTAACTGAATCTTTGATAAAGAGTCAGAACAATTTATGGTTGGGTATTCAGTGTTTGAATATCTCTGTGGTACTCAAAACTGAACCTTTAAAATTTCAGTAAATAGGAAAAAGCCTTGCTCTTAGAAAGCTCATGAGAATTTATTATTTTGTTTTGATCTTCGCCTTTTTCCTCTGGAGAGCTGCAGCTGCTTTCTTCAGTTCACACGTATTTTTGTGGAATGCACTTTTTTTGGTTGTTGTTGTTAAAGCTCTTGCAATCCAAGTTGAATTGCTCTGCAGAAACATGTTTTATTGTGGAGCCCCATCCAGTTCCCAGCTATTCCTGCAGCTGTATTGCCTGTGGATGCTTTCTGAGCTCTGCAGCTGTGGGGGCAGGTCAGGAAGGAGAGCTTCCATCTTTGTTGTAATTGCTTAAATTATATTAGTTGTGTGTCTATACAAGCCTGTCTGTTTCCAAGGAGCAGAGCCTGTGACTGTACCAGCCTTGATGGCAATGCAGCAGGGGCACGTCTGCGTCACTAATGCCTTTTCTTCACAGGGACCATTTGTGTTGCACACAGTTTAATGGCTGTCAGTAAATACACTTGAAAATTAATAGAAAATTTGCCACGTTCTTTTGTTGCAGGACATTTAAGTGATGTGTAGATCCATATTTGAAAAATTTCTTGACAGCTGGCTGGTATGGAGGGTCACTGCCTGTTTTGGGAGTGACCACATGCAATTCTACTTCTTTTGAAACTGAAATCAGGCTAGAAGTGATTTGTAATGGCTTTGGCCTCACAGCATCCCACACAGCCTTCACACTCCTTTTCAGTGAATGTGCAAATGTTGAAAAGTGTAGAAGCAGCTTTTCCACAGTGGCTGAATTAAACCTTGAAGAACTTTATATTTATTTTGCATCTTTCATGTCAGTTAGAAATTACTAATGCTAAAGCAGAAAGGATGTTATCTGTTATTTCCTGTTGCTTTTGGAACAACTAAGCATCCAAGACAAATAGTGCACATACAGTACTAAAATATGTTCCAAAAAGGATTGCTGTGCAAAAACAAAGGACAGGATCTAAATTCCATCAGTTAACTAATAGCATTATCTCTAGTGCTTTGGAGCATACTTTCTGTATTGCTTTGGCTAAGCTTATTAAAAATCCAGTTTTCAAATGAGTGCCATGTATGCCACCTACCAAAGAAGGGGGAATATTAAACACTATAAAATCATTCTAGTTTCTGACTTGCTAAGGAGGTTAGAGTAGGATTCTCGTAGTCTCTATTTCCCTGCTTTCAACATTTTTTTTCTTTCCTTTCTTCCTCAAGACAAGTTTACTTGCAGACTCAGGGTGCATGCTGGTTTGGTTCTTGTATTTATCATTCAGTAAAACAGTTAGCCCAGTAAAATGTATAATATCAAGCATAAGTGAGTATCTTAACTTTCTGAGCTATCTGTGCTGTAGCTCTGTCTGCAACATAGGTGAAATCCAAGGCTTATATGAAGGATGTGTTCCCAAGGAGGGAAATGTGCTGAGGGAGGCCTGGGGAAAAAGCTATTAAGCTTTTCCGACTGATGTGGCTTTTGTTGTCTGCAACCAGAAAACTGGGAAATAAAAGTCTCTTAAGAGTTGTGAATGCTTATCAGGCGCATGTTGCTAAGAAATATGATGGCTATGAATACTTTTCTCTATTCTCTTGCAGACCTGGGAAGCCCTGAAGGGATAGCTCTAGATCATCTAGGTCGCAACATCTTCTGGACTGACTCTCAACTTGATAGAATAGAAGTGGCTAGAGTGGATGGGCGCCAGCGTCGCATCCTTTTTGACACTGGCCTGGTGAACCCCCGTGCGATTGTTGTGGATCCTGTGAGAGGGTATGGACACCTTTTGAAAGTACACATGCAAAGCTTGGCTTCTGAGAGGGGTTAAGTCAATTCATACTCTCAGAAAGAGCATTCAAGGCCAAACAAACCACTACTAACAAATGACCATTAATAATAAACTGTTAGTGAATTAATGGCCCTCTCTGAAGTTCTCCCCTAACCATCGACTGATCAATTCCACTGTATACTGCCTGACGTGCTGAAAACAAAAACAGGATTTTGAATGAATCCCACAGATGGGTGCCAAATGTTGCTGTTTCTGCTACTTAGCCTGTGTAGACATGATGGGTGGTGGAAGGAGTGCTGTGGATGTGCATTTTAAACAGTCCACAGAACTGCTGAAATAGAATTGTTTTTACCTGGCATCTAGCACATAACCTAAACAAAGCATGGAAAGCATTTCTTCTTGTGTGTAATTGTTTTCTTCTTATTAATAGAAGTACAACATTCAGTATGTCTTCATGATGTTTTGTCACTTCAGTATTCAAGGGCAGTGGTGCTTCTTACTAATGTAACTGCTACTTTGGCAATGTAGTGTTATTTTTATCCTTACTATTTTTTTTTCCTTGATTACAAAATTTGAGATCAGTCAGTCTTTATTTTTACCTTTTTCTTCCTTTTAAGAAACCTGTACTGGACTGACTGGAACAGAGAAGCTCCTAAAATTGAAACTTCATACATGGATGGCACAAACAGAAGAATTCTTGTGAAAGATGATCTGGGATTGCCAAATGGGCTGACATTTGATCCTTATTCCTCAATGTTATGTTGGGTAGATGCAGGTAAATAGGTGTTGAAGTCTATCTTCATAATACTAGCATATTAAGCACATCCAATTAGTATTTATAGCTCTTTGGTCTAGAACTTGGATTTCATGCCTTGATTTTTTGTTTTAGTAATCTCAGTTCATTTGTTCATACTGCCTCTGTTGGATTCTGTGTAAGCTGAAATATTTTAGTCATGAGCAAAAAGCTGTCTAGAGATACAGCAGGTATCCCCTCCATGGAAGCGTTCAAGGCCAGGCTGGATGGGGCTTTGAGCAACCTGGTCTCTTGGGAGGTGTCCCTGCTTCTAGCAGGGATGATCTTAAAGGTCCCTTCCAACCCAAACCATTTTATGATGCTATGATCAAGAGATGAATTCTGCCATTGACTCACTGATTATGCTTAAAGACAAAAAGTATTCTTCTAATTCTCATATAAACTTTCTTTTTCCATCTTGCTGTCTTTCTCACTGTAGACTGCCAGAGATCTCTTCCTGTGGAGGTGCTTTTATACTTCAAGACACCTTTCAAGTTAATGATAAGCTAAAAAAGATCATCCTCTGTTTTTCACTGTAAGAAACTTTCTCTAGCCTTTAATCACTTCTCCCTCTGCTAACTTTCTTTTTTTTTCCCCATCTTTTATTCTCAAATTTGTCTCTTCTCCTTTTTTTCTCCTAATTTTGAAACCCACTAGTTAACAAAATGCTAGCAAATGGGAACACCTGTAGAAGTGTTCCTGAGATGTGTAACAGACTTAAAACTAAGCCTTTTTACACCTTATTTGCCTATACCTATAAGTTAGGTATTTTTCCTGCAGTCTTGCCTTGGTTGCCCAAGCCAACAATTATTTTGCAAACATGTTTACCTAGCTCAATTTAAAAAGTGCCTTCCGGAGGAGGTAGAACTGGATAGGGGTTGAAGCATCCCTCCAGAATGGAGGAGACCTTCTGTCAGCTTCTACTTCAGCCTGAGGATGCTGGTTTCTGTACCTGGAGTTTCAACTTGTGAGCAACGGACATTTGTGCTTCTGTAAGTTAGGTGCTGTGCTGATTACATTAGCACTAAAGTGTTCTGCCTTCCACTCTTTGACACGTTTGGAGATTTGGAATGGGAAGGCCTTTGGCTGAGCAGCAGACTGAAGGACATCCAGAAAATATTAGTCTGTTTGTGCTTGCATGTTTATGCTTATCCTTTCTTCCTTGTGAGAGCTCTTGGTCTTCCATTTGAAGAAATGGAATTGTTTCACTTCACCCAGGTACCAAGAGACTGGAATGCATGAACCCTAATCAGCTTGGTCGGCGCAAGATTGTTGAAGGAATTCAGTATCCTTTTGGTGTTACAAGCTATGGGAAGAATTTGTACTACACAGACTGGAGAAGGTATTTTATCTGCTAAAGAAATTATGGAATGTGTTATTCTGTTCTTCTGCCTGGTAGGAAGTGAAGCTTATACCACATTTCTCATGTCTGACATATCACACATTCCTCCATTCCTCTTCTTTTTTTTTTTTTCTTCTTTTTTTTTCTTTCTATTTCTGGCAATAGCTGTTGCAGGACAGAATGATTCTGTAGAGCTGACCTATTGATGTTGCCACTTAATTGAATTTTCTTCTTAGCGTAGTGATTTGTCCTCTAAAAAAATACTTACAACACTAAGCATTTCTGGGAAATGAGTGGGAGTTAACATGTTTCCCTTAAGGCTTTAGTTGCTGCATTGTAGAGGGCAGAAGTTAGTCACTCAAGACTTTTTATGCTGGATATTATGTTGAATACTTAACCAGAAATAAGAGGACATTTTTACCATCTTGATGGCACTTCCTTTGTTGCAAGTAAACTAAAACATTGAAATGCAATTGAGACTTTGAAGTTTAGTATGTATTTACAGAAAAAAATATCCAGTTCATGTATTTTTAACTGTCTTTCTTGGATGTAGTTATGTGGGCTCTATCTACAAACTCGTATACAAACGATTCTGTCACTTGCAGCAGGAAGAATTATTAGTGAGTTTAAGGATTCCCAGGCTAGAATCTAACAGCTGGGAAATGCTATTCTGGATAAATGGGAATCTGTTGAAGTTGTGTCAGTTACTGCCCTTTGGTTCCTAGGAAAGAAAAAATGCTTTTGACAGTGTTCCTTCCAAATATGAGGCTCCACCTGGAATACATTGTAATCAGTATGTGTAATAGCTGTATTGCCTATGTCAAAGAAAATATGGGACTGCAGAATATGTAATGCATCAAAACCACTAACAGATGTGTTCCTGTAGAGGGATGTGTGTTTGGAAGTACCTCCAAAATTATTAAGTTGGCTCCCTGCTACTGAATCTCATTGCTGCCTAGGATGAAGGCTGCGATATTTGTGTTTGAGTTGTCCAAGGCCTGAGGTCTTGGGGGATTTTTCTTCAGACATCACTCTCTAATAGTGAAAAAAGAAGCAATTCAAGACTTCTTCCTTCTTTTGTTTTGTTTGTTTTGTCTTGTACTCCTATATTAATCTCACTTCTGTATATTCTCTCTTGTATTTGTCAGGGATGCTGTTGTAGCTGTGGATCGCATGGTTTCAGTAGAAAATGATAACTTCCAACCTCACAAGCGCTCTCGTCTCTATGGAATCACTACAGCTTTTGCTCAGTGCCCAGGAGGTAATACAGATGATCCTCAAGTTTTTCCAGCTGTGCAGCATCTTAGCACATGAATGAACCTAGCCCTTCAGTGAGAGCTTTACTGCCACCCAATGTAGGTGGTTAGTGAAGGTTTGCTTAGATTTCAGTCTTCAGAGAAATTGAAAATGTCAATTTTTTTATAGTTGCCATATCCAATCATAATAGGCAGAGGAGTCTTGTTCTATCGTTAGACATGGCTAAAGCTGCTGTCTTGTCAGTGTCTAAATTGTGGCTAGGGCCTTATTTACTCAATTTTTATTTCAAACTATAGAAAAAATGGTCTTCCAGATTTCCTTAATGAGATCCGGTGTTTTTAAGATGGGAATGTTCAAAAAACAGCAGGTGGCATAGTGGGTGGACTGATCTTTCTGCTCTGTTGAATGTTAAGCTTTTCAGATACGTTACTGAAAAGCCCCCTGTGAAGCTTAGAAGAGAGAAAGCTGATAGTCTTGAAATAAGTTTACTCTTTTAGAGGCAATACCACTGTTCCAGTTCTTCCACTATTCTTTTCAAATCACTGTTATTAGAAGAGTTCTCTTTTTTATTATTATTATTTGGCTAGATTTATAACTGTGTTGTTTTAACTTCAGGCCTAAAAAATCCTAAATATTAGAGTATTTGCTCAAGTTATTCAATATGTACAGTAAAAACCTAATTGCATGTCTGGTTCAGAGCATTAAAATATGCATATGAATTTCATAACTAAGAAATCAGACATTTTATTCCTAGTAGTTAATTAGTTGGTTATCTAGTTAACTTGATAATGTTAACTACTAGTTAATAATTGATATTTCCATTGCAATAGGCACAGTATAACAAAACAACAGTCTGTGCTGTGACTGAAAGATTATATTTGTAATTTTAGAAACCTTGACATTATTTTTTCTCTTATTTACTTCAGATGTTTGTCTCTGACTGATGTCTTTCCCCTCAAATCCATTTCTTTAGGCATTCCTTCATCTTTCATTTTACCCTCAATGTTAATGCATTCCTCCCTAAACCTATTTATTTATTTATTTATTTATTTTGCTATTTATTCCTCAGTGGTTTTCTAGTAGAAAAGTGGGAATGAAGTTCTGTACCATTTTGAATTTGGTCCTCATTTGTTGCATTTTGCATTTCCTTACCCCATCATCATTCTAATATCTGTGACCACTCAGCCAATTTGTGAAGTACATTTCTGAGCATATTTTTTGATGCTGCCTATCCTGCTCTGTCCTGATATCTGGACCTTTCCTTGAGGTGAATATCAGAAGCAGGGATCTGATGACTTTGATCTTCCCAACGCGTAGTTTTTTCAATCTCAGTTTGTTTCCCTGGCATAGTCACGAATCTGCATATTTTGCACATGCGTTTGGACTTTACTGTGGGTTTGCTTTTGCTTTCCTTCAACATTTTTCATCTCTTCTTTTTTTTAGGACATAACTACTGTACAGTGAATAATGGTGGTTGTACTCACCTCTGCTTGGCTACCCCAGAAGGCCGCTCTTGCCGCTGCCCTGACAACACAGTTGGAGTGGATTGTATAGAAAGAAACTGAGTATTAAAACAAGCTTTCAAGCAGCAGGCACCTTCTGGGAATGTGCCATAAACAATTCAGATCTATCAACACAATCAGGCCCTAGAGATAAGTGCTGCATGCTGTTGACTGCAAGCCGTAATGTGCGTATGCAGACTGTTTTGTAGCAGTTAGGCAAGACAGAGCCATACAGGTTAGGTCTAATTGCATCTTAATCCCTGTAATACAATGTTTTTGCTTTGAAAGAAAAACGTGGAGGCCTTAGTTGTACCTGAGTCAGGCTAAGAGGAAGTGTGTCTTAGCTGAATACAGGACAGGGTAAAGGATGGTGTGATCTTGAGACTGGGTTGTACCTCAAAGCACACAGCAGTTATCTGTATAATGGCACGTTTGGCCCTTTGCATATGTGAAGGCTGTACTTTTGCTGAGAAGCAGACAGAGGGCCCAAGGATGGATAGATGTAGGTGAGAACACCCGGTAATATCACAGATTTAATGCCTAACTGCATTCATCCCCACTACCAGTCTTTGAATTTTCAAAACTTGAATCTCAACTTTTGACTTGTTGTTATGAAAATACTTTATCCGCATGCTGTCAGGGTATTATTTACTACCCTCATGTGATTCCTACCCACGGCATGTGATTCTTTATAGTTGGAACTGTGTAATGGGTGTGTTTGAATTTTCTGCTGGAGTTTAAGAGATTTGTTTTTCTTCCATCTGATGTAGATTCCTTAGCATTTTCCTAAAATCCCCTAAACAAACTTAGATTTAGGTCTCAGATGCTGATAGTTCATCAAAGAATAGATATTGGTTCATTTGGAGGTGTTTGTTTTTGAAAGAGAGAGTCATATTTGTTTCCTGAGAGCTTTTAAAATAATATTTCTATATTTGATTCTTTAAGCCTGAAAATGATCTTTGAAATTTATTGTAGCCATCTTTCTTCTTTAGCAAACTACATTATGCTTTTTTTGGTAAACCTTAAGAAACATAGCAGTTAAAAATCTGATTTCCAAAAGGTTGGCTGTGTCTTGGTGCTTAAAGGTAAAAAGTATTACGTCCCCTTTGTGTGCTATTGCTGAGTAACAGCAAAAAAGTATGCTGAAAATCAAAGCAAACTTTCAGATTCAAAGCATCTTTGTTTCAAAGCACATTTTCAGCATTACCAATGAGCTAGAGTTGGGAGGCAAAGTCAAAAATGTATATTCTTAATGTCATACTAAACCAAGTGTGAAGTTTAACTTCTGCACAGTGTGTTGGGAAACAAGCTCACGTGCAGGTCCACTTCTGTCAGTGTACACTTCACAGTGCTGTGATAAGAGCAGTAAGCTATTAATATCCCTATTTCCTCTCCCTTTCCAGATGCTACAATTAAGCTTCATAAAGAGCCAGTTCTGAGTCTTAATGTGTGACATCTTCCTCTTTAATTGTATATTTATCATAAAATAACAATGTAAACATTTTAAAGATATTTTGGTGTAACATTTTATAACAATTCATTTTACTCATACACTTAATCAGGTATTTCTTTCTGTAAATATCAAAAATGTGTTGAAATGAAGGTGCTTGATAATTCTTTCTCCAGAATTACTCACATATCTGGTGAAATATTAAAGTTTACACTCTGTACAGGTATCTACAGTATGGTCAATAAAAAATGTTTTTTTAAAAATTTTATTATTTTCTATTTAAAAAAAAAATGTCCTGCCTGCAGACGGAAGTGATATGCAATGTCTGAATTCTCTTCTTGTACAGGTCTGGGTTTAGCTAACTCTTCTATCTAGTCGTGATTTTTCTCATCTGAGATGAAACAAAATAGGGCTTTTAAGTTTTAAAAGCAGTAGTATTCTAAACAAATATGAGAGGACCTGAAGAACATATAGATTCCTCTGTTTTGTGACTTGGATTGCACAGACCTTGTACTGGTTGTTAACTTTTGTTTAACTTTGTCAGGTAAACCTAATTCAGCTCTACCATACTAAACTCTTGTGTGTTAGTGGGAATACAGGGCAAGGACTACAGGAAGCGAGGGACAGAACGCATTGCTTTTCCCAAAGCTGGCCTGTGTGCAGAGTTTTGAGGTGGCAGGGTGCTTTGTCACTTGGTGCTGCAGCATGTGAGTTGTGTGTGTGGCTGTAGGTGTGCTGTACCTGCAGGTTGAAATCTAAGCTGTGCAGCCTATTGGAGGTGGCGATGCTGAAGTTAAACTCCTTCACTTTTACTCTTGCAGTATGCCAGTGTCAGATCTGGATGCAGTGACCAGGATCAGGTTGTCCCGTGATTGCCAGGCAGGTCTGTAGTGGACAGGGCAGTTGGTATCTTGGCCAGGATAAGGATCAGTGGGGTGCATGGCTGTGGCACAGCTCTTGGCAAGGCTCAGAGTGAGAGCCTCAGCTAAAGAGCAGCCCCCAAGGGAAGGGAGGGTGGCCCTCAGCGGGGCCTCTCAGAAGCAGAGTTTGAGGACAAGCCTCTGCTGAGGTTTCTTTAGGCTTTCTTCATACCTGCTATCAGCCAGCTGGCCTCATACAACCAGCTCAGCTGCTAGTGGTGGGAGTGTGCTCTGGGTCATGATGCTCTGGAGTTTCCTTATTGCTCTAAATGTTTGCTTCCTCATTGAGTATTGCTAAATATTTGGCTTCAAAGGTATTTTATGGTGTTGCATTCCTCATTTTAATTGTAGTCTGGGGAGAACCTAATCTTTTGACATTTTGGCATTAGCCCGTGGCAGGATGTCTGTCTTGTGTTTATCATAATTTTTGCATTTAAATGTTCACAAGTATTTTGAATGAGAGATTACAAATATGAATTTTCTCTTTCCTTCCTCTAAACATAGGGAGTTAATTGCATCTTTCTATAACACTGTGCTTTCTCATGCTGACGTGTATCTAATTCATCTATGGAAAATGGGATTTCTTCAAAATTAATTTATCGTAATAGTCTGGGACTGTAATCATGTCAGCTTCTGTTATGGTGTTGGAAGAGATGATTGATTAAATGTAATTGTAGTTCCTTTTTTTTTTTTTTTCCTACCAAACATTAGTCGATTTTCAGCTTTTCCAGGAAAGAACAATTCATTTAACAGCTAAACAAAAAACAAAATACTTACAAAAGACTTACTACATAGCTAAGTTAAATGTTTTTTAAATACTTCCATTCAAATCTTCTACCACATATCAAATAATAAATGGAAATGTTTAGCAGTGATGTAAGAAGTTGCAAACAATTGCAGCTCATATTGATTCCCTGATGAACCAATGGAGTGCTTCAGCCCCCCTTCCATCTGAAGGATGTTTAATAATGCTGCTTCACTCACTTTTTAACTACTCAAGAACTCTCTCCTCGTGGTGAAAGTCTAGTGTGTCTTACAGAACCCCAGCATCACATCCAGTATTTTTCCAATTTGGCAAACTGCTTATTCTGCAATTCTCCGGTTGCACAATTTTGTCACAACATATTACAATTTAAACTCTTAGACGTATAATTAAGAACGACAGATGATTAATAGGGGATAATGTCCCCTCAATGACAGTGTCACAGTGCATCAGTTTAATCTATGGTTAAATGCAAATTAGAGGAGGTCTGTTGTGTAGTCAATCAGGGATACTGGTGACCAGGGGAAGGGGGTTCCTGAGCTGGGGCAGCCTCAGGGGAGGCAGAACCCTACCAGGAGCCAGCAGTGCTCAGAGAAGCAAAGAAGGGCTGAGGACATGGTGAAGGAGATCTTTTTGCTTGGAGATCTTGGGGGGGGGGGGGGGCGGCAAGGTTGTATAACACACATGTTTGCAGGGAATACAGTTGAGACACACCCCCTGCTTGGCCTATTGCCTCCAGCATCCAAGTCCCCAGCTGGGGATCTGGCAGCAGTTTGTTTGTTAAGAGATTGAACCACTTCTTTTGTTTAAATTCTGTCCCACTTGAGATCTGTCCCCACTTGAAATCTGTCCTTTGTCTGATAAATAAGTTTAGAGGCAATCTGTCAGTAAAATAGGTGAAAGATTTGAAAACTGTTTCCTACAAATGTACGACTCGGGGGCTCTGCATAACGAACAAGAGGCTCAGCTGCCCCTGCAGCTCAGCAAGTGGAATTCCCTGCTGCTTTGTAGGCGAAGCAGATGGAGCTATAGTAACATTTAATTTTTTTTTTTTTTTTTTTCTTTTTCCAGAAGGGTTCTGAACTTTATGAACAGAGGAAAGCTGCTAGTCTCACAGGCAGCCAGCATGGCATATTTCAGCCTTTGACTTCTTTATTTCAAGTATTCACCAAAACCAATTTCAATTTGTAGTACCTTTGCTCTGGGCAGGCAGTGCTTCCTATCCGATGCACTATCTGGAGCACACCTGAGGCATACTAAGGGGTTGTGTAATGAGAAACACAGCCTGCTGTACAGATACTGATGGGCCACGCTACAAGTGGCTGTGCGTCTGACCCAGGAACTTGTTTAGTGGCATTAAGGATGGCAGTGGAAATCTTCCCAGAAGCTGCATGTAGGTTGTGGAGAAAGGGTAACAGCGGTGAAAGGCAACTGAAGGGGAAGCAGATCTTGAGGCAGCAGCAGCTGATCATTGTGAAGGTGGGAGGAGCAGCTAGCATGGGGACTGTGGTGCTTTTGTGGTCAGTACACTGCTGGCAGTAGGGCAAGGAAGATAAACTTGCAGAGTCGATGAGTGGGGTTTTGGAAACCATTCAAGTCTCTTCCTTTCTCACTAGAATCCCACTGACCACAGCACTCTGACCACTCTCTTTAGGCACTGTGGTTCCTTCCTGCTTTATGCAGAGAACAGACCTCAGCAGATAGCCCAGAAGAAAGCCAGAGCAAAAAAGCAATGGTCTGCCATCAATCTGCTAAGCATCTCTAGCAGCTGGAATCCAAAGGTCCCTGATGATGTATTTGTAAGCATGAGATTCTTTCCCTTGTTGAGTACTGAAGGCTATCTTAGTGGTTATTAACCTTTGACCAGATGTATCTAATGTATTTTTAAGTGATTGTACTTTAATCATTTATCTTAGGGGCCTGTTGCCCTTTCAAACATATATATGAGTGGAAATGGAAAACCACATAGTTTCTTTCTCTTACAGACATGAGGTCCTTCCAGGTTCTTGGACCATGACACTGATTTCTGCAAAACAATAAGAGTTTGATGTGCTGCAGTCAGTATCTGTGCTTACCTGCCTTGTGACTCAGCTGTCATGATGACATGCCCTGATGGCATTTTCAGTTGACCTTAATCTGAAAATTAAGTTGTTTCAGCCAAAATCTTGGCACATCATCTGCTAGAGCCTATAATATGTTGCACCCAGCTAATAAGACAAAGTACAAAGTCTGATATAGCCTCTGTAGCAGTTAAAATGCATTTGGTCCAGGGCTAAAGATTTGATATGGTGCATCTTCTCCAGGTAGACACATCTACGCACTGTCGTGGCAGGAACAACTTCCAGCAGTGTCAGATGGCTGTGGTCTTCATGTACTTACTGTGGCTGTCTGTGACTGGTAGTTTTTATTGACTAATTTTATGAATTTAGGAGACTGTATTTTGCCAGGAAAGATGTTTTTAATGTTAACCGTGGATTAATACAAGGAGGAGGAAATTGTTTCTCTCAGGGGAAGTGCTGTCAGTGATTGATATGTGCCCTGTGAAATCCCAGTCCCCACTGGGTGTTTCCCGGAATCCAAACTTTTTTGGATACAAATTGGCAGTACTTGCATTTGCTCAATCTACAGTTCATAATTTGTCTGCTGAATTGACATCTCTCAGGGACAGCCATGAGAGTCTGAAAACATCTCTAAATTGTACATTTGTTCTGATAGAGTATTATACTACTAGTGGAACAAGAAAATTTGCATTCATTTTTGTTCTCCAGTTCTGTGACTGATTTATATTCCTACAGTTATGCAATCTGTATTTTTTTCATTTTCAGCTTGATTTTTACTAGAATGAAGAATCACAAAGGGAAGAATTGCATGTGCTTGTATAAAAAGTTTCTTAAGACATCTTTTAATGAGCAACAAATGTACAACAATTAAGAAACACATTACAATTTTGTTCAAAATTTTTTATCAAGAAAAATGTTTTCTCCTAAAGCCCCAGCTCTTATAGATGTGACCCCCAATGCTCTTGACTCCAATAAGAAGTAAAAAGACCAGTGCAGCACTACACTTTAAGTTTATTTAGACTGAAGGAACCTCTGCAACATGTCTAGTCCAGTGTCAAGTCGAAGCCAGAACAACTTCCACGTAAGAGCAGATTTGAGAGCAAAATGCTTAAGACCTTGTTTTGCCAGCTTCTGAAATCTCAAAAGATGGAGAAGATGCAGGAGATGCATTCTCCATGGCAACATCTTAGGGCTGAACCACTTTGGTGTTGAAGTCCTGAAGTCCAACATTTTCTCAAAAATTCAGTTGGGCAAGAAGGGCTTTCATGTAACTATGCTTCATTTGTTATGCTAAAGTGAAATTAGAATTGGTATTGTCACAGGAAAGGGAACCTTATGAAACATTTGAACAAAAGATTCTGTCACTATAAATACTTACAAGGTATAATACAAACAAAATTATTCAACAGCAATCTAAAACACAGTATTGAATGTGGAGATGGTTGTGTGTAGTAGAAGGCTGCGATCAGAGATGAGATCTCTTATTTTCTGTATGTCTGGATTTCAGATTCTGCATGGAT